TGAAATGGCCCAGAAATGACTGCTTTGTATGTTACTTCTTGACCATATTTGAAATATCCTATGCAGGCAAAAAGCTTATGAGAAACTTGTTGAAAAGGTGATTCTCAAGATAGGCATTTCTCTGCTGCTGCCTAGTGCATGAGTCAAGAGCAACATGTTGGGAATTCCTGTGATCACACATTTCAGGAGTGCTGGGTTGTATGTGTGAGTGTATGTGTTCTGCTGAAATTATCAAGCGAGAGATGAGGACCACATAGCTACAGATCTGTTGCTTGTGTGCTAGAATATTAGACAGTTATCATAATTGTCCGTTTCAGCAGTAATAATACACACATATTGATCATAGGAATCATAGAATCATAGATTTGGAAGAGACTACAAGGGCCATCCAGTCCAACCTCCTGCCATGCAGGAACTCAAAATCAAAGCATCCCCGACAGATGGCCATCCAGCCTCTGCTTAAAGACCTCCAAAGAAGGAGACTCCACCATACTCCAAGGGAGTGTGTTCCACTGTCAAACAGCTCTCACTGTCAGGAAGTTCCTCCTAATGTTGAGGTGGAATCTCTTTTCCTGTAGCTTACATCCATTGTTCCGTGTCCTATTTTCTGAAGCAGCAGAAGACAAACTTGCTCCATCCTCAATATGACATCCCTTCAAATATTTAAACAGGGCTATCATATCAACTCTTAAACGTCTCTTCTCCAGGCTAAACATACCCAGCTCCCTAAGTTGTTCCTCATAGGGCTTGGTTTCCAGACCCTCCACCATTTTTGTCACCCTCCTTTGAACACGCTCCAGCTTCTCAACATCCTTTTGGAATTGTGGTAAACAGAACTGGACACAATATTCCAGGTGAGGCCTGACCAAAGCAGAATAGAATGGCACTATTACTAGCTATTCCTCCTAATTTGGTGTCATCTGCAAATTTGATAAGCATGTCCCTTATTCTTTCATCCAAGTCATTGATAAAGATGTTCAATAGCACTGGGCCCAGTACGGAACCCTGTGGCACCCCACTGGTCACTTCTCTCCAAGATGAAGAGGAGCCACTGCTGAGCACCCTTTGGGTTTAGTTGGTGATGACTGACATTAACACATAAGAAGATAAAGACATTGTTAAAGAATGCATTTTCTTTAAGATGTTTTGTTTGTAGCATTGGAATCAGATACAACACAGAGATGTACCATGTATAACATTTTACTGCCTTTTTTGAAAAGCAGAAGGCGGATGATTTGAGCCTTCTAGCAGTGGAAGAAGAAAGAAAGGGATGATTAGCCCTTTCCCTGCTAACTAGTTTTGTTTTGTCACAGGGAGTGGAAGCAGTTTGTGAGGGAATGTTGAGAAAACCAATAAGGAACACAGTCAGGGATAAGATCATACCTCCTCCTGCATTTTTCAAATGTACAGCCAAGGCTGTTCTTAGTTTTAAAAATGTTAGTGAAATGATACACAAATACAGACTCCTGCTTTACCCCTCTCCTTTCTGGAAATATATCAGGCTGTTGTAGGCTCCTGTTTGCATTTCTATGCACATTTGAATCTGACTCATTCTAGAAGATATAACCGGACTGTTGATTGGTCAAAGCTATTTAATGGCCTAATTCTGACAGGTTTTACTTGTCTGCATGTTGGTAGCAAAGAGACAAGACCAGCCTCCCTATCTTCCTGAGTAGGAAGGCCTAGGAATCTCCCATATAAATCTCCTTTGGTGAGTCATTCCTAATATCCTGATAATCACTCTAGGTCAGTTGTTTGTTCATTTTGTTTTAAAACTGACTATTTCTTAACTTCTCTTTTCTTGGTTATTTCATAAATATATATAACAGAAAACTGGAGTTGATCTTACAATTAGAGACTTGGATTCATTTCACCCATATCCTAAGCATGCTAACCTGTTTGGTAAGAAGTTAAAGGGAAGGTCTAAAAAGGAGTCAATTCTTTAGAATAATTCTGGTTTCTCATAACTATAATAGAGACCGTACTTTAAAAACACAAGAGGTGGGCTGATCTCTGAAGAACATCCACCTTGTAGGATTATGAATAAAGACACATCAGAATTGATGATCCTGTTTAGCTTTAGGACATATCTAGTACTGCAAACATATCCTGGATTTTCAAAATTAAATGCATTTTTTTTTTGTGATAAAGTACATGCTTTACAAACAGAAGGCCTCAGAATTCACCTCTGGTTTCTACAAATAGGGTTGCAGAACACCCTTGTCTGAAACCCTGGATAGCTTCTGTCAGTCAGTGTAAACCAGCCTTCCCTAACCTGGTGCCCTCTAGATGTGTTAAAAATAAAGTTAGAGTCCATCATACCCAGTCAATGAAATAAAAGTTGGCTGAGGATGATGGGAGCTGTCATCAAACATATCTGGAGGGCATCAGGTTGGGAATGGCTGGTTTAGATGCTTGATGGACCAATGATCTGAGTCAGTATATCTGGCTTTTCTTCGCAAACGAAGATTCAGGAAGGACTCATCCCACGCTTTTTGCAAGCGCACTGATGACTAAAAAGGTCAATCCGAAATAAATCCAAGTCAGTATAAGGGAGCTTCTTATGTCTAAACATTTTGATGGTAGTAACAATCCTTTATTTTTATTTATTTAGAGTATTTATACCCCTCTCCTCAGCTACGAAGGCTATCAGAGTTGTTTACAAATTATTAATTTGACAGTTCACTATCCCCAGTCTTACAGTCTAAATAAGACATAAGGAAAAGAGAAAGTCAATGGGGGAGTGGATTAAGTCCAGCACATTTAATGCCAAAATACCCTAAAGGCACCAGATCCTGTCTGATCTTGGAAGTTAAACAGGATCAATGCTGGTTAGTACTTGAATGGGAGGCTGCCAATGAATACAAGGCACTGTAGGCTATATTTCAGAGGAAGGAACTGGCAAAACCACCTAAAAATAATATTTTAGGTATTACTTGCCTAAAATACCTTATGAAATCCATGGGATTGCCATAAATCCACAGGTGACTTCAAGGCACATACACACAACAGCTCTTTCCTTGAATAAACTCATTTTAAAACAACAGCAACAACCCGTCCTCTTTGATATTAAAGGTTTTGGAAGTATTTTTTAGAAAGAAGGGGAGAAACTAGATCCTCTCCCCACCTCCCAACAGTTAAAAGTGAGCTTTGGGTTGAAATCCCTTTAAAGGTTCACAAGCATCTGGCAAGTATTTAAAGACGACTCTCCTTTCAATTTCATTAGTTCCTGCTTCACTGGCAGACAATGATAGACTGTGAGACAAAGCCCTTTTTAAACCACTGAACATATGGATTATTATTTTTTCAGTGGCAGGAACAAGCTTTTAAAAGTGACCGAACTATCATATGTGCTTGGTTGATGAATTGGTGTTGAACTAATATGATGTCCTTAGCTCTTCCTCAACCAAGTTCCCTAAATACTGCCAGCCAGTAATCTTGAATCTGAACTGCAGGCTCACTCTTTTCATCAAATGGACTACAAGCAACCCTTAGTCCCTTATATTTCTCATTAGACCAGCAGTGGGCTCTTTATGAAAGCCTTTCTGCTCCTGCTTCATTAGTTCTTCTCTATGGGTATGACAGAGTTCTGTTCTGACATTTGTGGGGTTTGATCCCCCCCTTGCTTTTGTCTTTACTTATATTCTACAAGTACTTTTTATCCCAGAGGATATTAAACCTCTTTCACACTGTGAACAAAATTGTGCCTTTCGTTCTGCTGACATAACTTTTCAGCTTTGATGGACTAAAGAAGTAGTAGTAACTGACTCTATGCAGTGTTTAGCTGTGTGCTGAAAGGTGCTACTATTATGGCACACAATTAGGTATAATTTTACAAAGTCACCTATTGGGTATATTTACAAGAGCCAGAAAAATATGCTTTTAATGGAAGGGTTTGAGTAATGTTTTGTCATCTATAGATACACTAATAAATGGTCTTAGGAAATAAGTCCTGTTGGTATGTGTATAGCTGCATTGTGTTAATATTGCACCTTTGTGGGAGACTGAAGTCTATGGTGGCTATTCTCCAAGTATCATAAAAGCTACTGATACTTAAACCTGTTGTATCAAAATTGTTCTACATTTTATGCAGAACCGGATGACAGACCAAAGTGATACAATTCTATACTTAACTGTTTCAAACTTATATGGCTGGATGCCATTTTTTTAAAAAATACTCAGTAATAAAAATACACACACATCTTCCTTGCCTGCAGTTTTGGATGATACTAATTATTCAGATCCATTCCAATAGTTGTTTCCAGGCTGAATTTGGGGAGAAAAAGCCTTAATCCTTTCAAGTATGGAAGGTCTCTTTGACTTCTAGTAGCCTTCAATAACTTTGACTATTATACTTTTCTGAGCTATCTGGTCAAAGTAGGACTGCAGACATGGTGTTTTGGCTCTAGGTAATTGCTTACACAACTAGGCTGGAATGCCTTCTGGGTATCTAACTGTGGACTGCAACACATGTCTATCTGGGAATTCACAAAAGGCATTAGAAAGAAGCCTGCAAGGAAAATAACTCATTTATCTAAAGCAAACAGAAGTGTCTTTACATGCCATATTAAGGCAAGCTCACATCAAAGATCATAAAGCTTCTCTAATATATGCAGTGGTCATCATTTCATAATTTTTACATGATGAATTTTAAATGATGAATTTTAAATGTGGATTGCTTTAGTATGTGTATATGTTGTCATTTTAAATTCATGTGTATTTTAACTGATGTGTTTTAACTGATGTTGTTTATCTGTTCATTGTTGTTGTTTCCCACCTTGATCCATGGGGAGAGGTGGGTAAGAAATACTACTACTACTACTACTACTACTAATACTAATAATTTGTTGTTGTATTCCTTCAAGTCGTTTCTGGCTAAAGGGGACCCTAAGGCCTATCATGGGGTTTTCTTGGCAAGATTTGTTCAAAGGAAGATTGCCATTGCCTTCCCTTGAGGCTGAAAGTGTGTGACTTGCCCAAGGTCACCTAGTGGATTTCCATGGCTGAGCTGGGATTCGAACCCTGGTCTCCAGAGTTGTAGTCCAACACTCAAACCACTAGGCCATGCTGGTTTGTTAACCACAATGTCCTGCTCTGCATGCAGGGAAACCTACTGAGGGGAAGAGCCAGAGTTGCTACCGCTACCATTTTCCTGCCCAGGCATTTAAAATGCTTTTTCCTAAATGTAGTAGGAAAGCCAGCATTGTGTAGTGGTTTGAGTTGGACTAGGACTCTGGAGAATTGGGTTTGAATCCCTGCTTGGCCAGGGAAACCTACTGGGTGACCTTGGCCAAGTCACATTTTCTCAGCCTCAGAGGAAGACTAAGGCAAACCCCTTAAGGATTACTTTAGGGTTGCCATAAGTTGAAAGGCAGACAACAAGAAAGTACCCTTACACCAGCTGTGGAAGGAATCCATGATGTATCTTAGCAAGTCCAACCTTCTCAATATTATAGATATTGAGGTGCAAAAAAAAAAAAAAAAGAAAAAAAAAGTGCATTCCGTTTTTCATGGAAGTAATAGTGCCTATTGATAAGCCAACTAAGAGATAAGGCAAATACAGTTTATGCTCAACCATGTTGCTCTCGTGTATAAGTCAAGGACAAGTTTTGGGGTCAAAATTATGGATTTTGTTATGACCTGTGGATAAATTGAGGGTAAAACTTAGGGTCATGTAACATAGGGCCTAAGCAGACGGCTTATTGGGCCGTCTTCGGCGCAGGGAAGGGGAGGGGCAGCCGCACGCTCGGCGCCCCCTCCCCCTCCCGAGGTCATCCTCGGAGCAGCCGGCCCTCCGCATGGCCGGCGCTCCGAGGAGGACCTCCCACCGCAGCATTCTCAAAAGCTGCAGCGGAAAAGTCGCCGAAAGTGCGCCACAACCTTTTGCGGCACACTTTTGGTGACTTGTGAAAGGAGTGTTAATTTAGCGCTCCTTTCCAGGGGCGATGACGGTGCGCCGCAGGCTCGAGGCATGGGGATGCCTCGGTCCCGTGACGCACCTTCCCATGGCGGCCCATGGCCACCCGTCTGCTTAGGCCCAAAGAATGTAAAGGAGAAAGCAAAGGAAAACAATGGAAAGAGAGTAAAGAATCCTAGCAGTTGTACTTGTTTGTGCTCACCGATGAGAAAAAAAAACAAAACCTATGATAAATTGTAGCTGTGTTATTTTGCGGGGAAATGAGCTAGGGGTATAAGAAAGCACACACATGTCAAAAAGGATGAAAAGGTAAAGCAAAGAAAATGGCCTCTACTCTAGCAGTGATAATAGCCTTTAACTTTAATGTGATA